GGCGGCCTCGGGCTTTGGGGCACCTCTGTGTCCGCGCCAGAGCACGGGGGTGTGGCCGGGTGAGCTGCTGGAGTGCCGCTGGGCCCGGGGAGGCAGGACACCTCGGCCACAGTGGGGGGGGAGGGTCTTCCCGCAAGTGAAAGGCGCGCCCACCCACAGCTCTGTGGGAACCCCAGGCACGCCGCTGAAACCCCGGCCCCTCGGGATCTCTGCCGAATTCCCACGACTCTGCTCTTCGGGTTAACCCAGGTGGAGGGAGAGAGCCGGAGTTTCTGGGCCAGGTTGTCAGTTTGTCACCACGCTGACAGTGGTGACAGGCTTCTCGTCAGCACCCACTAGCGTGATTCCTCCCCATCACCCTCTGGGAAAGGGTCCTCCTAGGGTAGGAGGCGGGGATCCTGGGATGGGGACAGAGACCCTGGCTGCAGGCTGAGGGTCATGCTGGGTCTCGGAGCCCTGGCCCCCAGCGTGGAGGCCCTGACCCTCCCCCTCGGCTCCACAGCTGGGACCGAAAGAACAACCCCGAGCCCTGGAACCGCCTGAGCCCCAATGACCAGTACAAGGTAGGTCTCGGTGGCTCCAGGGCCGGTCGCCCCTCCTCTCCTCCCCGTTCCAGCACCCCTCCTCCCACACTAGAGCGAAGGGAGCCTTGGGGCGCCCGGTGTGAACCCCTTTCCCTCCCCGTCTAGTTCCTCGCCGTTTCCACTGACTATAAGAAGCTGAAGAAGGACCGGCCGGACTTCTAAGCCAGGCTAAACCGCAGCCAGCCAGTCCCCTCACTTCTTGCAGTCCTCTCCTCAGACCCCCAGGCGTCAGTCCAGCCCCCGCCCAGCCCCTGCACGCACAGGCCGGGTTCCCACGCAGGGGGGAGGCAGCTCCATCCCACCCTCCTCCCTCCCTCCCAGCAGCGGAAGCGCCTCTGACCCTTGGCTCGAGTCCCACGGGGGAGGCGGAGTCGGCCGGCGGGCAGCGGCGGGGGTCGACCCGAAAGGCCCAGGCCAGCCCCTCTGGCCTCCTCGCCGGGCCCTGCAGGGTGTGGCTCAGGCTACGTGTTGAGCGTGGCCAACGTGAGCCAACAGCAAGCAGGGGCCTCCGAGCGCCA